TGTATATATGTCCATGTCCTGCGGCTGTGTAAGTATGCCCATGTCCTGCGGCGGCTGTGTATGTATGCCCGTGTCCTGTGGCTGTGTATGTTAAGTATGCCCATTTCCTGCGGCTGTGTAAGTATGCCCATGTCCTGCGGCTGAGTATCTCTGCTCATGTTCTGCAGCTGTGTATGTATGCCCATACACAGCTGCAGACACATGGGCATATATATGTATGCCCTCGCCCTGCAGCTGTAAGCCTGTATCCAAGGCAATGTCCTGGCTTCACATTGACACATTTTTAGATAGCAGACTTTGCATTGATTTTTTTTGGTTTTGTTTGATTCAGTTTGAAGTGAATGAATAAGACCGTCTGAACAAATCTTTGGGTTTTCAAAATAGCAGTGACCGAGGAAACTTTGTGGATAAAGTAAATTAATAAAGTAAACCCAATGTGGGTATGTAAACGTTTCTTTGGGGAAAGTTAAAGCAGGTTAACGTTCTCCAAGACTGTTGCAGCTTATTGCAGCATTTGCCATTTGCTGCAAGAAATAGTGTCCGGTAATGAACAGGAAGAGTATTGGAATTGGAAAAACACAACCGAAAGGCAAAAGTACTCTCAGGAAACATGTATGAGTCAGTTTGGAGTTCTGTAAAAGTTGTTTCTCAAATTGAAGCAAAGCAAAAGTGGAAAAATTCAATATTCAGTCGATGCCACAACAGTCGGCTGCAAAGTTTGCTTGGAAACATCTGATAATTAGGGAGAACTTTTCCGATAATTGTGGTTTTTGGCTTCTAACAAATCCATTATCCTCACTAATTATTATATTGATATGCAGGCTGCAACAAAAGGAGAGAAAGGGACAGCTTTGGCAGCATTTATATTGTTGATTTCAGTGTCAGTTAGTGTTAAGTTTGTTTGTATGTTTCCCCCATCGACCCTGTGTTAGTGGACTGACTGAGTGCTGATGATATGGTATTACAAAAATCAATCATTGTAGCAATTTTCAACATACAAGTTATGTTTTTTTATATTTCTCCATCTGCATCTTCTTAAACATATTTTTAAAGGTATCTATTGTTTGAGAACATTTTAATGTGTCCTTTAATGCATTCCATAATAATAATCTTACCCCAGCAACCAAGAAACCCCTCTGTCTTAGTGAGATTCGGGAGAACGGTACACAAAAGTTTCCCCTTCGCCTTGTGTCGTCTGTGATCAAGGTCAATTTCTTGTAAATATGTTCTGGTACCAACTTGTGCTTAATTTTCCACATGGTCTGTAAAATGTTTAAATTAGCAAGATCTTTAAATTTTAATAGTTTCAGCTTCACAAAAAGGTCGTTAGTATGTTCTCTAGAGCCTTTATGACTTATAATTCTCACAGCCTTTTTTTGTAGCAAAAACATTCGATCTATTACACTTTTGCATGCGTTTCCCCAGACCTCGATACAACGATTTACTTAGTTACTCTCTAAAGAAGGTATCTTATTATGTTACTTTTATGTTACTGTTATTATGCTAGACTTTGAGCAGAACTGTTCTTAAATGCGATATTCCAATATGAAGATCAACAGATAATTCTTTTATTCTCTTTCTTACCAAAAAGGCCACAGCGCATGTAACATGGGGGTGTTGTTTTTCATGAGCACAGCTCTCACTCGAGGGAATCGCTTTAGGACCTCTAACTCTGAGCCTCATATACTCGAGTACCTCCACGTCTGCGCTAAAGGACATTGCATCTTTCTCCTCATCAAAAGATCAAAAAAGAAAAGTCAGCCTCCCTGGCGCAACATCTGTTTGTTCATTCTCAGCTGACTCTTCATCATGGGTTTAAGTGCCTGATGTGACTGATGCACGAGAACCAGCAGATGAGTGTCACAGCTGCCCATGGAAAATAAAAAGTAAAGTTGCGGCGGATCAAAAAATAAATGTCTTTACATAACTACATTGTTGATAGTTTGCGCGTTACTTTACTTTTCCCCGATCCAACACTGCAGTGAGTGTGAATGTGAGTATTATTATCTACTGTTTATTGCTATTTTAAAGTTGCACCACAGCTGTTCAGATCAGATGCCTTTTATGAATCTTATGAGGGTATATTATATGTACCTATGATCATGTTATTTGTTAATAATTCATTTGGGGATGGGGGGGTTTTTCACTGTTTTTACCATTTTTTCACACTGGTATTTTTTGGAGTCGTTCCTTGCCGATGGAAGAGGGTCTAAGGACAGTGATGATCCAGGACATTTAAGTACATTAATGGATGTTTATTAAAATCAGGACGTTGGCTCAAATGTGGAAAGAAAACAAATCAAATCCCACTCCTCTCTGGTGGTAGCATTGTAAGTTACAGGCGGGAAAGCTTCTTCTAAAACATGAAATTACAAAGTCAACGTTCTCATTACAATTTCTTATGGCCAAAAATAATGCCTAATATTTCTACTCGAACACAAGCAACAACTAATATTTGCAACACAAAATAAATAAAAAGCCCCCATCATTCCCATTTGAACACACCATCACTGCGTTTACCCACTTCTTTTCTCTCCCCTCATTCAAACACAAACCACTTTGCAGCTGTCCAAATACTCAATTTCAATTAATGCTAAACAGGGAAACCCACACGTTCAAACGCTCCCCAAAGAACTGGCTCTTTGCTCTCCAAGAAATCTATGCAAATGGCAGCGTTTAGGTTCCATGCGCGCAGAGAAGGCGGCCGCCGCGGAATATCCCCGAGAGGCCCCCACCCCCCACAAGTCTTAGGCGAGTCGGCTTTTCTCGCGTCTTCAAAAGTCTTTTTCTATCTCTTTGCCGTGCTTTCTCGGTGGGCCCACTTGTTTAAGCCAGAGAGTGGATCAGCCTGGACCGTGGCCCCGCGGTCCTGTCGCGTTTGAGTTTGTGTGGATGTGGTTGTCTTTTTTCCCAAGTGGATGTTGTGTGCAATCAAATGAAACACGCAGAGAACTGGGGGCGATGTGAAACAGCGTGGGAGGTTACAACGCTGAAATGGAATATTGGGATAATGGTGTGAACTTTGAATAATCTTTGTGTGTTTTTGTTAGTTCAGAGAGACATGTTGAACTTTTAAAGAGTACCTAACTTTTCTTTTTCATAAGTCATGTATGTTATTTGTCCCAACAGCAAGTCTGTAAAATGTGTCAGACCTCAACTCACTGTCTTCATAAAAACTGTGAGCCACACTGTGACTCTTTGGGCTGAGATTGTTTTTTTACTTTCACTGATGTGGAGATTGTACAGAGTCCTTAAATACAAACGATAGAACCAAAATGTTTTGAAAGCGAGGATGTCGTTAGATTACACTGTGTTTAGATGAACAATGCTAACCCACTAGCTCAGTGCTCCTCAAGTATTTTCTGCCAGGCTCTACTACTGGATTTTCAAAAAATATTTTTTCCGTTTGCAGTAAAACCACATTCTGTACAAGACTACCCCTGTGTGCACCAGACAGAACAGAGTCCACTTCTTCTCAGAAAATCAGCTCTCAGCCCAGAGAATCATAAAGTGACCAACAGATCTTTATTGAAAGTATGCAAAAGGTTAACCAAAAAAAAAAAACTTTGCTAATGTAAATGTAAATGTGCATTTTATTGTATCCCTGTAGGGAAATTTGTCCTCTGCATTTGACCCATCCTGATGCCGCTAAGGCTTACGTCAGGAGCAGTGGTCGCCGTAGTACAGCGCCCGGGAACCCATCTTCAGATGTTGATGCTCGGCTTGGTCAGGACCGGAGCTGGAGGATTTTACCTAGTAATACACTAAGTAAGTATGTTAAACACGTGGGGGCACAAACCTGGGGGGCTGTACCCAAGTTTATGCCCCAAAGTGTTGTTTACCTGCATTATTTATACATGAATTAGGTATCAAGGTATTAGGTAAAGTTAGGTATCCCAGCTTTAACAGCCATTGACATTTGAATCATTTAAAAATAATAATATTTGTGTCTATGTTCCCTCTATCATTTATGTCTGGGGCTTGGCTGTGTGGTTTTGACCCAGCAGGTGGCAGCAGCGCTCTCTGGGGGTGTCTGGTCAAAGGTCACTCACTGAGCACTGTGTCGAGAGAGGTGAAGTGAGCGCAAGAGGAAAACAGAAAGGAGCAGGCTTTTGTTGGAGGCAGTTTGAGCAGTAAATGTATCTCTAGAGCTGACAGAGACCATGTGGAGGGTGAGAGCAGCAGACCAGCACTGCTCCCCAATATTACTGATACTATCACTAACACTTTCTCTGAGCCTGCACCAGGAGTCAGCGGCAATGTCTGCACTAAGCAAAATGACACTGTGTAGAAGTAACCACACAAACACACAATCACACACAACAGTCTTCTATCGCACTTATACTATAGGTATATATTCTGTTCACTTTGGTTTATTGTCGTCGATATGATAATGTTTATTGTTTATTGTTGTATTTTGTTATTCTGTGACTTACTGTTATTGACATAAATATGGCGCTACCTACTGGATGAATACTGGCCATTCTTCCGGGCGTAGTATATCAAGGGCTCTACTTTCAATATATAAATGTTGGCGTTTTTTAAATAATCAAGCAACACCTGTGGATGTGGGTGTGTGTGCAATAAAACATATTATTTTGCATCAAAAACTAGTTTTTTTTTGCTGTTTTCAAGCATGTAAGACAATGGACATGTATGGGGATGCACTACAGTTAAACTAAATACTGTTAAAAAAATCACTTTTCTGCATGGTGCGTCTGTTTTCACAAACTCAGCTTTTTGTGTGAGACCAGTGATTCTAGTAGTTCAGTCAAACTATCACCTGGGAATTACAGAAGAACAAAACAAGCTAGAAACAGACTTATTTTTGCCGATGAAAGTCCAGTCTTTCAGAATCTTGTTTCAGATAGTTCATAGCACACAACATTCTGTGGGTCTTGAAAATCAGTTAAATCATCAAGAACGGCTGGCAGTCAACGAATTAATTTAGTGAGTTTTAGATGAACTTCACAAGGAGATTTGTCACGTGTACAGGCTGCATGCTCTGCGGCGGTCAGAACAGGGAGGAGGCGGAGGTTGTAGAATCCTGCTCCAGTATGTATAAGGTAAAGGTGCACTTCATTAATCCCCATAATTCATAATTCAAATCATAGTACAATTCATGCAAAAGCGGCATGTTTCTCACGGCTGGTCAGGGCACTATTTGAGAATGACTGCACTAGCATAATGAAGCCCAACAGGGAAGTGCTCATGGACAAAGTTGTGCTCCAATTCATACGGCCTCCTATTGACATTGAATATGAACCCAATGCTAAAAAATATATACACATAAATACCTTTGATTTATATGTGCTCCTCACACATGCAACACCTACTACACTAATTACCTGCCATAAATAGGCTGAGGAGTGAAGCAATATCTAGCACTAGTGACTCGTGGAGGCTGGAGATAAAAATTGAGTGTAGTGGCCAAAATGTGATCGTCAATGATATGTCTCCTTTAATATCACTTAATTATCTCTATAGCACACAATACTCCTGATTCTTCACAGAACACCGTGTCCATAATTATCCCGGGCCGATTTACAAGCTCTGTCGTTCACATTTCTACAGTTGTGATGCAACTTTGACTGACACTAGTTAGAGTGTCCACCTTCTGATGAAATGCCTCACAGCCGCTCCAGAATGCAGAATGCACTATTTATGCAGCGCGAGGTGAGGGGAGAGGGCAGGCGTCTCCCTGTGTCCGCTGAGCACAATCGCCCTTGTTTAAAACACAGTTACTGTACATCATGGTTACTGTCCTCCAGCAGGGATCCGTCCGCTGCTCACTCTCCTCATTCAAGTTTGCTTGGATTTCTGCATTTTTGTTTCTGTGATTTGATTACATCTTCCACTTCCTTCAAGGGCTGTGCCTCATCCATTCATTTTCAACCCCTTTATTAGTCCATTTCTGGGTCAGGGGGATGGCAATGAGAGCTGCCACCCAAAGCACCAGTTCTTTTCTGATCCTCTGCAGGTGGTGGGTCCACAGGAAGATGGCTGCGCTGTCAGGAGTGAAGTTGCCTTGGTCTTTCAGCGGGGGCTTCAGGCAATGTGGGGTTAAGTGTCTTGCCCAAGGACATAACGACAGTAGACGTTTGTTGGAGTAGGTCCCGTGATGGGGTTGAACCCACGACCTTCAGGACCAAAGGCCAACGCTCTACCAACTGAGCCACTGTTGATGTGTACCTCGTTTTGTTCAAATGTCATGGAGGTTATTACTTTGCCATGTGAATCTTTTTATATTTTATACAAATAGAATTCTGTTTTTTCTTGTTTGTTTTTAATCTTCATGAACATTAAACATATTAGTGGTCCCTTGTTATCCTTAGTATTTGAAGTTTTAAAATGTCTTTAGGTTTGAATAAAAACGTATTATTCTTAGGTCCCTGAACCAGAGGGCCTGGGTCTTCAGGTCCCAGGTCAAGAGGACCACACGAGCCAAGAATATAGTATCCAAGATCAGAGGACCCAGAATCAGAAGACCCAGGACCAGAGGAGCAGAGACCAGAGGACACAGGACCCAAAGACCCAGGATAGGAGGAGTCAGGACCAAATATCCCAAGACTAGACTAGACTTCTGTTCTTGATTACTCTGGGCCTGGTTCCTCTGGTGTCAGTATCCTCTGGTCTTGGTTCCTCTAGTCTTGGTTTCTCTGGTTCTGTTTTCTCTGGTTCTGGTTCCTCTGATCTTGGTTCCTCTAGTCTTGGTTCCTCTGATCTTGGTTCCTCTAGTCTTGGTTCCTCTGCTCTTGGTTCCTCTAGTCTTGGTTTCTCTGATCTTGGTTCATCTAGTCTTGGTTTCTCTGATCTTGGTTCCTCTAGTCTTGGTTTCTCTGATCTTGGTTCCTCTGCTCTTGGTTCCTCTAGTCTTGGTTTCTCTGATCTTGGTTCATCTAGTCTTGGTTTATCTGATCTTGGTTCCTCTAGTCTTGGTTTCTCTGATCTTGGTTCCTCTAGTCTTGGTTCCTCTGATCTTGGTTCCTCTAGTCTTGGTTCCTCTGATCTTGGTTCCTCTAGTCTTGGTTCCTCTGCTCTTGGTTCCTCTAGTCTTGGTTTCTCTGATCTTGGTTCATCTAGTCTTGGTTTCTCTGATCTTGGTTCCTCTAGCCTTGGTTTCTCTGATCTTGGTTCCTCTAGTCTTGGTTCCTCTGATCTTGGTTCCTCTAGTCTTGGTTCCTCTGATCTTGGTTCCTCTAGTCTTGGTTCCTCTGATCTTGGTTCCTCTAGTCTTGGTTCCTCTGATCTTGGTTCCTCTAGTCTTGGTTTCTCTGATCTTGGTTCCTCTAGTCTTGGTTCCTCTGATCTTGGTTCCTCTAGTCTTGGTTCCTCTGATCTTGGTTCCTCTTGTCTTGGTTTCTCTGGGGTTGGTCCCTCTGATCTCAGTTCTTCTGGTCTCGGTTCCTCTGGTTCTGGTTCCTCTGGTTTCAGTTCCTCTAGTCCTAGTTCCTCTGGTCTTGGCCCCTCCGAGCCTGATTCCTCTGATCTTGGATAATTGAATCCCCAATTTTACTGTTTATTCTTGATAATGCCTGTGCAAAGATGCAGAAGCTTTTGTGCTTCATAGATTCAGAACTAAACTCAGCAGTTCTGGGCAAAGGTGTGGGATATAGGAGAAGAGTACACTCAAACAAAATGAGAAAGCAGCTGACCAAAAGCTTTGAAAAGGGAATTTTGTATATGAAATTTGACATGAACTGTCACCACTTTAGTCAACCTTGTTGTTTCTATTTGTGCTTTATAAATGAACTTGACTGGACTGAGTGTAATACAATAAAAAAAATGGCTAAGTAAGTAAGTAAACTTTATTTATATAGCGCCCTTCACAAACCAGGGTCACAAAGCGCTTCACATAGTATAAAAACAGACATTATATAAATTAGACATACATATTTTTAAAGGCCAAGACAACCATGTAAAAAGAAAACAGCAAGACAAACTTACGCCTGAACAAATAAATGTCTTTTCAGTAGACTTTTGAAGCACTCAACAGACTCTATAGAACGCAGAGAGAACGTTCCAAAGCTTGGGAGCAACAGCCTGGAAGGACCTGTCTCCTCTGGTCCTGAAGCGAGTGCGTGGAACCATCAGGAGGTTCTGATCCACAGACCTCAGAGCCCTGGCTGGGGTGTAAGGCTGGATCAGGTCACTGACCGTGCAAAGCTCTGAAGGTTAAAACCAGAATTTTAAAATGTATCCTGTAGGACACTGGCAGTAGTAAGTAAGTAAGTAAGCTTTATTTATATACCGCCTTTCACAGATCAGAGTCACAAAGCGGTTTACATTTGTTATTTTTGGGCACTTGTCCTCTCACTCCACCAACCAATGAAGAGCTTTCAGGACAGGGGTGATGTGCTCCTCCTGCTTGTGCGGGTCAGGATTCTCGCTGCAGAGTTCTGCACTAACTGCAGGCGAGACAGTTCTTTCTTATTTAAACATAAAAACAGACCGTTACAATAATCTAAACGCGAAGGCTAACAAAAAACAATAATTATATTCACTTTTTTAATATTGTTAAAGAGCGACTAAACACCAAATCAACTTTTTTTTACTCATAAACTGCATAAATATGTTTATTGTAGTGCTCTCTACATATCCTGGTCAGTTTTTTGACATTTTAGTTCAAACTAGATAAAATTTCACTTTTCAGCCTAAAAACGTCTGTGTGGCGCCCTCTCTACCTTTTCGGTGGTACTACATTTGGATTTGGTCCTGGCTTCTCCATTGACTCTGAATGTCATCAGAGTCTCTATGTCATCAGTTGGTGTGTGTGACGTCAGTTGGTGTGTGTGACGTCAGTTGGTGTGTGTGTGATGTCAGTTGGTGTGTGTGATGTCAGTTGGTGTGTGTGACGTCAGTTGGTGTGTGTGATGTCAGTTGGTGTGCGTGACGTCAGTTGGTGTGTGTGACGTCAGTTGGTGTGTGTGATGTCAGTTGGTGTGTGTGACGTCAGTCGGTGTGTGAGACATCAGTTGGTGTGTGTGACGTCAGTTGGTGTGTGTGATGTCAGTTGGTGTGCGTGACGTCAGTTGGTGTGTGTGACGTCAGTTGGTGTGTGTGACGTCAGTTGGTGTGTGTGATGTCAGTTGATGTATGTGACGTCAGTTGGTGTGTGTGACATCAGTTGGTGTGTGTGACATCAGTTGGTGTGTGTGACGTCAGTTGGTGTGTGTCGTCAGTTGGTGTGTGTCGTCAGTTGGTGTGTGTGACGTCAGTTGGTGTGTGTGACGTCAGTTGGTGTGTGTGTGATGTCAGTTGGTGTGTGTGACGTCAGTTGGTGTGTGTGACGTCAGTTGGTGTGCGTGACGTTAGTTGGTGTGTGTGACGTCAGTTGGTGTGTGTGACGTCAGTTGGTTTGTGTGATGTCAGTTGGTGTGTGACGTCAGTTTGTGTGTGTGACGTCAGTTGGTGTGTGTGACGTCAGTTGGTGTGCGTGACGTCAGTTGATGTGTGTGACATCAGTTGGTTTGTGTGACATCAGTTGGTGTGTGTGACATCAGTTGGTGTGTGTGACGTCAGTTGGTGTGTGTCGTCAGTTGGTGTGTGTCGTCAGTTGGTGTGTGTGACTTCAGTTGGTGTGTGTGACGTCAGTTGGTGTGTGTGACGTCAGTTGGTGTGTGTGACGTCAGTTTGTGTGTGTGACGTCAGTTGGTGTGTGTGACGTCAGTTGGCGTGCGTGATGTCAGTTGGTGTGTGTGACATCAGTTGGTTTGTGTGACATCAGTTGGTGTGTGTGACATCAGTTGGTGTGTGTGACGTCAGTTGGTGTGTGTCGTCAGTTGGTGTGTGTCGTCAGTTGGTGTGTGTGACGTCAGTTGGTGTGTGTGACGTCAGTTGGTGTGTGTGTGATGTCAGTTGGTGTGTGTGACGTCAGTTGGTGTGTGTGTGATGTCAGTTGGTGTGTGTGACATCAGTTGGTGTACAGTATGTGACGTCAGTTGGTGTGTGTCGTCAGTTGGTGTGTGTGACGTCAGTTGGTGTGTGTGATGTCAGTTGGTGTGTGTGTGACGTCAGTTGGTGTATGTGACGTGAGTTGGTGTGTGTAACGTCAGTTGGTGTGTGTAACGTCAGTTGGTGTGTGTGACGTCAGTTGGTGTGTGTGATGTCAGTTGGTGTGTGTGACATCAGTTGGTGTATGTGACGTCAGTTGGTGTGTGTGACGTCAGTTGGTGTGTGTGATGTCAGTTGGTGTGTGTGACGTCAGTTGGGTGTGTGACGTCAGTGGGTGTGTGTGATGTCAGTTGGTGTGTGTGACGTCAGTTGGTTTGTGTGACGTCAGTTGGTGTGCGTGACGTCAGTTGGTGTGTGTGACGTCAGTTGGTTTGTGTGACGTCAGTTGGTGTATGTGACGTCAGTTGGTGTGTGTGACGTCAGTTGGTGTGTGTGATGTCAGTTGGTTTGTGTGACGTCAGTTGGTGTGTGTGACGTCAGTTGGTGTATGTGACGTCAGTTGGTGTGTGTGACGTCAGTTGGTGTGTGTGACGTCAGTTGGTGTGTGTGACATCAGTTGGTGTATGTGACGTCAGTTGGTGTGTGTGACGTCAGTTGGTGTGTGTGACGTCAGTTGGTGTGTGTGACGTCAGTTGGTGTGTGTGACGTCAGTTGGTGTGTATGACGTCAGTTGGTGTGTGTGACGTCAGTTGGTGTGTGTGACGTCAGTTGGTGTGTGTGACGTCAGTTGGTGTGTGTGACGTCAGTTGGTGTGTGTGACGTCAGTTGGTGTGTGTGACGTCAGTTGGTGTGTGTGACGTCAGTTGGTGTGTGTGACATCAGTTGGTGTATGTGACGTCAGTTGGTGTGTGTGACGTCAGTTGGTGTGTGTGACGTCAGTTGGTGTGTGTGACGTCAGTTGGTGTGTGTGACGTCAGTTGGTGTGTATGACGTCAGTTGGTGTGTGTGACGTCAGTTGGTGTGTGTGACGTCAGTTGGTGTGTGTGACGTCAGTTGGTGTGTGTGACATCAGTTGGTGTGTGTGACGTCAGTTGGTGTGTGTGACGTCAGTTGGTGTGTGTGACGTCAGTTGGTGTGTGTGACATCAGTTGGCGTATGTGACGTCAGTTGGTGTGTGTGACGTCAGTTGGTGTGTGTGACGTCAGTTGGTGTATGTGACGTCAGTTGGTGTGTGTGACGTCAGTTGGTGTGTGTGACGTCAGTTGGTGTGTGTGACGTCAGTTGGTGTGTGTGACGTCAGTTGGTGTGTGTGACGTCAGTTGGTGTATGTGACGTCAGTTGGTGTGTGTGACGTCAGTTGTTGTGTGTGACGTCAGTTGGTGTGTGTGACGTCAGTTGGTGTGTGTGACGTCAGTTGGTGTGTGTGACGTCAGTTGGTGTGTGTGATGTCAGTTGGTGTGTGTGATGTCAGTTGGTGTGTGTGACGTCAGTTGGTGTGTGTGACGTCAGTTGGTGTGTGTGACGTCAGTTGGTGTGTGTGATGTCAGTTGTGTGTGACGTCAGTTGGTGTGTGTGATGTCAGTTGTTGTGTGTGACGTCAGTTGGTGTGTGTGACGTCAGTTGTTGTGTGTGACGTCAGTTGGTGTGTGTGATGTCAGTTGGTGTGTGTGACGTGCGTCTGTCTGCATCAGTGATATAAACCCATTCAACTCTCACACACGCCCCTGCAGCAGGCTGGAGTATTCTGGCAACATCTAGTGGATTAGAATGAAATTACATGAGTAATTCTGAGATTATTGTGTGTGATTAGGTTCAGGTGTGTAGCTTTATATTTATCTTAGTGTGTAAACAAGTGTGGAACGAGACTTTCTTTTTTGTGTGACAAGTGAGCTGTCAATCACAGCCCAGACCACGCCCAACTCTAAGACCCCCTTTTTAGAGAACATTTTCTAATCTTCATGTGGGCGGAGTCAGGCTGGGCACAGGTGTTTAGTTGCTTCTTAAACTGGACCGATCAAACTTTAATATACACCATCCATCCATCAAAACTAATCCATCAACTCTAATATCAGTCGATTCTGGCACAAACATGTTCATGTCTCTTCAAAGTAATATTTATATTTCGACATTCTTAAAATAATTGTCTCCTTTTCCCTTTCTTTTGAATTTTTCCCCTAAATCTTTGTAGCTGTAAAGTCCAATGTTTACGCCCAGCACTCCATCCACACACCACACTCATGCTCCTTTCTCAGAGCAGACTCATTTCCTGCGCTGGCATTATTACCCAGTAGCAGTACTTTGGAGCGTAGTACTTCACCTGGCCTCTTGTGCAGTAGTTCTCATCAATTATCCAGGGGAAAACAAAAGGCTCAGACCCGGCGTGTCTTCTGCAGGTGTGCGCCAAAGCTCCAGAGTCTGACATGAAAACAATAGCCCACAGCGGTGACCTATAAGAAACCCTACTCCTCTCGTCGCTTAGATAGCTACACACATTCATAGAGATGTATATGTGTATGTATGTATACGGCTCTGCTCAAGGCCTGCTTCAAATGTAATTCATGAATATTGCATAGAATTTACACACAGTATTTGGAAGATGTACTGTATGTAAACTGAAACCAGAGACGGAGCTTTGTGTGATGATCTTTTTCAATGCTAATTCATGCATGTGAACATATTTTCTCTCCGATGCACTTCCTGTCTCTGATCCTCTGTATTGGATTAAGGAGAAAAAAATTAAGGGGAATGGCAATTGATATAAGCAGATATAACTATCACTGTGTTTTCACACATTCTGTAAGATGATAAGTATTTTATTGGCATAGCTATTTATCTATCTATCTTTTAAGCAGAACATTATTTACAATGACACAGTCTTCCTAAGATTAGAGTCCATGATTAAGTTTGTGAGGGTCCTTCTTTTGCCCATTATCCCCAAAAGTAACTAAGGTTCAGGATCAACCAATCACAGCGTCTGAAATTATGACTCATACCTAGCAACAGGGTTGGCCACGCCTCCTCATTAGGAGTAGAAGTTTTTGTCCATTCCTTGCCCAGAGTTCTCTGAGAATGTTCTGGAATAACTTTTAAGCTAAGACTCCAAGCAAGAGTTTTTTTTAGGTTAAAGTAGTACTAGAATTTAATATGCTAGTACTACTAATATACAGACTGGTGTGCTTACACCGCCTCGTGAAGACGGCAGGACGCAACAGGGGATCACGACCACACAATTTTAAGGTTTTGCTGAGAGTATTTGTTGAAGTACGTGAAATGTGTGTACTGATAGAGTACACTCATTACTGGGTCAAGTGAAGAAGGTACTACACACCAGTCACTCTCGGGACAATACTTTGATGAATGACAGTTTGACAAGACACGTAACAATAGTGAAGCTCATAGCATCAGAGTTTGGGCTGTTGTATGCTCTTTCCTTTATTAAGATTAAGAGATCCTTTATTTGTCCCACAGTGGGGAAATTTCGGTGTTGCATCACAGGTTATAGAACAGTAGGAAAGAGGAGCACACAGCACACGTTATGTGAACAAAAGCTATACTAATCAAAATAAAAACTATCTAACTCTAGCATCAATAATAAGTATAAAATATCTATCTTGAAAATATAATAGATGTAAAAATTTTAAATTGACAAAATACGAGGCAAGTTATAAAGTTATCCTTGTAAATAAAATGTTTAATCTGTTTAAATTACTTCAGAGCTGAACTCTTTTGGCACAAATATAAACACCTGAGGGTCGCTTCTGTGTCCCTACAGGCGCCGCTCAGACCCCAGATCAAGTTAGCGATCGGCAGAGGTTTTAGCCAAGATGGAGTGGAGAGAATATAAACACATCTGTGAGTTTGTGATCTGTAATCTATCATAATGTCCTGGGTGGGATGCACTACAGCTTTAGAAGACTAATCTTTAAAGTCTGTTCGTTTTGACCCTTTTATTGTGACACATGTCTGTGAACAATACACAGACCTTCACTACTGTTGTCCTGGGTTGACAAGGCAGTTCAACACAAAGCAAAAAACATGGGTCTGCAGTGTTAAAGGAATAGTTCACCGTTTTTACATACTGACATATGTTCTTACCTTACCTTAGACTAGTTAATATGTACCTGTCTGGTCTTAGTCCGTGCGCTCTGTCATGCAAACGGAGCAAAAACGGGAGCACAAACGCAGCCTCCTCTGGTCACTGTATAGTACCCAAAAGGTAGCTCCCGCTAGAAGCTACCAAACTCTTCCAAGTGTTCCCTATTAAATGTATATAGTTACGTGACGTGTTACACTGCAAAGTATAGTAACACAGAAATGTAACTGTCGATTTTCTCAGCGGATAAAACGGGTACTATATTGTGAGGCGTAGTAATCTGAGGTGCGCTACGTCCGCGCACTAACTTCTCTCCGGAGACTTCTCTCTCGCTGCTACTGTGTGTACTACAAGTCACGCTGCTTCTATTGACGGAAGTGAGCGAGAGAGAAGTCTCCGGAGAGAAGTTAGTGCGCGGACGTAGCGCTCCTCAGATTACTACGCCTCACAATATAGTACCCTTTTTATCCGCTGAGAAAATCGACTGTTACATTTCTGTATTACTATACTTTGCAGTGTAACACGTCACGTAACTATATACATTTAATAGGGAACACTTGGAAGAGTTTGGTAGCTTCTAGCGGGAGCTACCTTTTGGGTACTATACAGTGACCAGAGGAGGCTGCATTTGTCCTCCCGTTTTTGCTCCGTTTGCATGACAGAGCGCACGGACTAAGACCAGACAGGTACATATTAACTAGTCTAAGGTAAGGTAAGAACATATGTCAGTATGTAAAAACGGTGAACTATTCCTTTAAACTGGCTGATGAAATGTGCTGTATAAATAAAATCTGCTCCTTCTGTCTGTATGAACTCTGAATGCACATAGTCTAACTTCATATTCAGCATGTATCTCGTTACCTCCCATCACTGCACATCCTACCACACACTTTCAAACTAATATTAGAACTTCCAAGCGCACAGCATTAGCCGCACTCTCTCTCGCACACACACACACACACACACACACACACACACACACACACACAAACTTGCGCGCCGCGGTCTTGTCTCGCGGCTGCAGCCCTGCGCTCAGCTCCTATCAACATGACAGGCGCGCGCTCACATCTGTCCGGCCCGTTTAAAGTTGGCTTCAAACGAGCGGCTCGGAATGAGGAGCAGATAGAGACTTAGGAAAATCAATGTGCATGGCGAGCCGGAAAGCCCACTGTCAGGGCGCATAAGCACGGCGCGCTGATTCGACGCGCTCGGTCAGAAGAGGGCTGCTCTCAGACCGGTGCAGCTGTCCAACACCACCAAAGGGGAGAGTATATGAGAGTGTTTACTTGAGTTGAAAGAGCGAGGAACTTGGATGTAGTTTAAGTAGTTTGTTTGTGTGTGCATGAGATTGAAAGAGCTTAGAATTCGGGCGTTCTGCTCTCCCAAAATTTCATCCACTGAGCGGCGCTGTGATCAAAAAATGACACCGTTTGTTGCCCAGTTCACTTCCGGTTGATTTCATACAATGGTGAATATGGCTCACGAAAACAACAAACGATTGACAGTGCCTGAATTGCGTGAAAGGTTGAAGCGAAAGGGTATTTGCAGTGTGGGAAAACGAAAGGAGGAATTGTTGTTGCTAGTTCAACGAGCGGATGGTGTTTATGAAGATTTAGAAGAAGATGACAGCGAGCAGAGTGAACGAAAACGGCCACTTGACCCACCGCACGCTTGACATCCACGGATATCGACTCAGTTTTTTATTGCTGTTAGATCGACAATTAGCGGCGGCACACTTGAACAGTTTACAGAACAGATATGTTGTTATTTGGGCTATTGAAAGTGATCATGAGGATAGTTTTCATTTTGTATTTTGGGAAATCCAGTCGTAAAGGTGAGAACTGACCAGAAGGCAAAAGTACTGGTCGTGGGTACTTAAGTAAAAGTATAGCTATAAAGAATGGAAATGAAATAATTAAATAAAATAAATAACAGTATATTAAGCAAAAGTACAAATGTATTGTTGTTACTTAGATACTTTACTGATCCCTGTAGGAAAAATGTAAGTGTTCAGTAGCAGCAAAGACACATCCATCCACACAAACGAAACAAATGAATTGATTATTCTAAAAAGCTAACGATAGTAATAATAAGCAACAGCCTCAGGTCACAGCAGCAGAGGTGGAGTAGCCTCTGGGTGGAGCAGGACGGGTCGCAGCAGCAGAGGTGGAGTAGCCTCTGGGTGGAGCTGGACAGGTCACAGCAGCAAAGGTGGAGTATAGTCTCTCGGTGGAGCAGGACGGGTCACAGCAGCCGAGGTGGAGTAGCCTCTGGGTGGAGCAAGACGGGTCACAGCAGCAGAGGTGGAGTAGCCTCTGGGTGGAGCAGGACAGGTCACATTAGCAGAAGTGGAGTAGCCTCTGGGTGGAGCAGGACTGGTCACAGCAGTAAAGGTGGAGTATATTCTTTGGGTGGAGCAGGACGGGTCACAGCAGCAGAAGTGGAGTAGCCTCTGGGTGGAGCAGGACTGGTCACAGCAGCAGAGGTGGAGTATAGTCTTTGGGTGGAGCAGGACGGACCACAGCAGCAGAGGTGGAGTATAGTCTCTCGGTGGAGCAGGATGGGTCACAGCAGCAGAGGTGGAGTAGCCTCTGGGTGGAGCAGGACGGGTCACAGCAGCAGAAGTGGAGTAGCCTCTGGGTGGAGCAGGACTGGTCACAGCAGCAAAGGTGGAGTATAGTCTCTCGGTGGAGCAGGATGGGTCACAGCAGCAGAGGTGGAGTAGCCTCTGGGTGGAGCAGGACGGGTCACAGCAGCAGAGGTTGAGTAGTCTCTGGGTGGAGCAAGACGGGTCACAGCAGCAGAGGTGGAGTAGCCTCTGGGTGGAGCAAGACGGGTCACAGCAGCAGAAGTGGAGTAGCCTCTGGGTGGAGCAGGACTGGTCACAGCAGCAGAGGTGGAGTATATTCTTTGGGTGGAGCAGGACGGGTCACAGCAGCAGAAGTGGAGTAGCCTCTGGGGGGAGCAGGACGGGTCACAGCAGCAGAGGTGGAGTAGTCTCTGGGTGGAGCAAGACGGGTCACAGCAGCAGAGGTGGAGTAGCCTCTGGGTGGAGCAGGACGGGTCACAGCAGCAGAAGTGGAGTAGCCTCTGGGTGGAGCAGGACGGGTCACAGCAGCAGAGGTGGAGTAGCCTCTGGGTGGAGCAGGACTGGTCACAGCAGCAGAGGTGGAGTATAGTCTCTCGGTGGAGCAGGATGGGTCACAGCAGCAGAGGTGGAGTAGCCTCTGGGTGGAGCAGGACGGGTCACAGCAGCAGAAGTGGAGTAGCCTCTGGGTGGAGCAGGACAGGTCACAGCAGCAGAGGTGAAGTAGCCTCTGGGTGGAGCAGGACAAGTCACAGCAGCAGAGGTGGAGTAGCCTCTGGGTGGAGCAGGACGGGTCACAGCAGCAGAAATTAAGTAGCCTCTGGGTGGGGCAGGAAGGGTGACAGCAGCAGAGATGGAGTAACCTTTGGGTGGAGCAGGACGGGTCACAGCAGCAGAGGTGGAGTAGCCGCTGGGTGGAGCAGGACAATTGTATATAAATAGCAGCGTCACAAAGATAAAAGTAGATTTGGATTCCAGTGAAAACCCACCGTGATGGTTTAAAATGCTAATTTGAACAATCTGCCAAAGCTAACTCCGATGCTACCACAAATTATGCCTATAAGACTTATAGGCATAATTTGTGGTAGAAGCGGTATTTAAATAACTTATAGTATAAGTTATTTAAATACCGCTTCTGTTCTCACTAAAAGATCAAAACCATTTTAGAATCAGGTTGAAAATCAAGTTGGAATCAGATTTGTTGACAATATTCAGTTTTCTAAGGACTTGTTGACCTCTGTTTGTCTCTGGACCAACGGATGTTTTATTGCTGTATTTTTCATGTTTGATTTTCTCACCTGCTGTTGGAGAATCCACATTTCCGTCTGCAATTCACAAAAACATCTGTTCTGATTAGGATCTACACAAAAAAATAATTGAATTGGACCCATATGAAGTCTCAGATTCGCCTACACAATTAATGTCTATACTTTGACTTCCACGACAGCTTGTACATAAGACCAGAGCTATTTGCACTTTAATCTCCTTCTATTCCCGTCCGTCATTGTTCCATCTCATTCCCAACTCCCTTTGTCTTTAATTAATTGACTTATCCAAACGCTCCTTCACTCCCTATTGTCGAAAAAGCGTGGCGTCAGTCTATGTGTGTACGTGTGTGTGTGTGTCAGACTTGCCCATTCATTACACCACACTACAGTTAAGCACATAGCTCCTGACAGGCGCTAGGTACCTGCGGATACGGCACTTGAACGGGCCCTTTGTGCGGGGATCCGATTACCGTGGCCAGCTGCTGCGGTTGGGGGTGTCCAGGCCTCGCGGAGCTTCCCACGGTGCCTCGCGACCGCCTGCACCACCCTCCAGCCATATCCACCCGGCCGAGCAGCACAGGCAGCCAGGCACACGGCTCATTAGCATACGTGCGCAAAGCCGGGGTTTCGGATGACATCACAACATCCTATGTGTTTAATTAAGATGGTGGGGGTGGGGGGGGGGCTGGAGGGGGCAGGTAAAAAGCACTGCTGTTGATATGCAGATGGGCTGGTGTGTCATGGGTAGATATAATGAGCTGTCGCGATGGGTAGCATTGAGTGGATGTGTGTTTTTGTGTATATGTGTGTATATGTGTGTGTGTGTGTGTGTGTTGTGGCTTAATGAATGGAGATTTCATGGCTCTTGTGGTTTCATGAGAGGAAATTAGCTGATTTTCAAAGCCTAAATTGTATGCACGAGCAGGACATATTAAGAACATTCAATAATTGTGTTGTTTGATTCTCTGATCTGCTGTTTGGGGAATCGACAACGTGCGAGACGACTGCTGTTGTGATTTAGGGCTATACAAAAATAAATTGAAATGAATAATTTGAAGGGATTGGAGTAAATTGTTGTGTTGCAGCTGATATGCCGAGAATGCTGACCCACAAAAAAAGGATATTTGATTTCTAATGTAATATAGCTGCTACTACTCATCAACATCTATAACCAAAATACTATACTAAACCATAATACTATAATATATATATATACACTATTCCAATTTATATACCAAAATAGTAAATATATATATATATACCATACCAAAATATTATAAAATGTATATACTATGATATATACTATACCAATATACTCTAAATATACCATACTCAAAACCTTAAACGTTACTCAGCAGTGTAGCATTAGGGAATCTCCATAGTCCAACACTGAAACTCGGCTAAAGGAGCGTATAGTCCTCGACAGCGTGCCGTCATTACGCAGGGGGGCGGGGGGAGTGGGGGCAGAAGTGTGTGCGTTTCGCGGGAGGAGGAGGAGGAGAGAGGAGGGGGTGAGGGTGTTGGGGGTGGGTTAGATTAGAGGGGGAGGAGAGGTGGGACATGAGCGCGGGCCGTGTCGTGGAGGGTCGCGTGCCAATGTTTATAAAAAAAAACAACACACACATCTGTCGCGCGCGCATCGCCTCGAGACGCACCGCGACAGATGTGGAGGGGGGAGACTGAGGGGGGGAGGGGGCAGACTGAGGCAGTGAGGGGGGAGAGACTGGGAGTGAGGGGGAAGACTGAGGCATGAGGAGGGGACTATAGGGGGGTGAGGGGAGAGACTGAGAGTGAAGGGGGAGACTGAGAGTAAGGGGAGAGACTGGGAGTGAGGGGTGAGACTGAGAGAAAAGGGGGAGACAGAGTGAGAGGAGAGAGTGAGGGGGAGACTGAGTGGATAGCACTCTCGCCTCTCAGCAAGAAGGTCCTGGGTTCGAATCCCGGCTGGACCAGGGCCTTTCTGAGTGGAGTTTGCATGTTCTCCCCGTGTCTGCGTAGGTTTCCTCCGGGTACTCCGGTTTCCCCTACCACTAAAAATATGTACAATAGGTCTGGCATGCGCCTCCTGTTCGGCGACCCCGCTCCCATCTCTGTGTGGAGCGAGAGACAAGTGCCCAAAAAATAACAATTGTAAACCGCTTTGTGACTCTGGTCTGTGAAAGGGGGTATATAAATAAAGCTTACTTACTCACTTACTTACTTACTTAGACTGAGAGTGATGGGAGAGACTGAGAGTGAGGGAGAGACTGAGAGTGAGGGTGAGACTGAGAGTGAGGGTGAGACTGAGAGTGAGGGGAGAGTGAGGGAGAGACAGAGTGAGAGTGAGGGTGAGACTTAGAGTGAGGGGGGGACTGAGAGTGAGGGGGAGACAGAGAGTGAGGGGAGAGACTGAGAGTGAGGGGGAGACTGAGAGTGAGGGCAAGACTGAGAGTGAGGGGGAGACTGAGAGTGAGGGTGAGACAGAGTGAGGGGAGAGTGAGGGAGAGACAGAGTGAGGGTGAGACTGAGAGTGAGGGGGAGACTGAGAGTGAGGGGGAGACTGAGAGTAAGGGGGAGACTGAGAGTGAGGGGAGAGACTGAGAGTGAGGGCGAGACTGAGAGTGAGGGGAGAGTGAGGGAGAGAGTGAGGGGGAGACTGAGAGTGAGGGTGAGACAGAGTGAGGGGAGAGTGAGGGAGAGACAGAGTGAGGGTGAGACTGAGAGTGAGGGGGAGACTGAGAGTGAGGGGGAGACAGAGAGTAAGGGGGAGACAGAGTGAGGGGAGAGACTGAGAGTGAGGGTGAGACAGAGAGTGAGGGAGAGACAGAGTGAGAGTGAGGGTGAGACTGAGAGTGAGGGGGAGACAGAGTGAGAGTGAGGGTGAGACTGAGGGAGAGACAGAGAGTGAGGGGAGAGACTGCGAGTGAGGGCGAGAGTGAGGGCGAGACTGAGAGTGAGGGGAGAGTGAGAGTGAGGGTGAGACTGAGAGTGAGGGGGAGACTGAGGGTGAGACTGAGAGTGAGGGTGAGACCGAGAGTGAGGGGAGAGTGAGGGAGAGACAGAGTGAGAGTGAGGGTGAGACTGAGAGTGAGGGTGAGACTGAGAGTGAGGGTGAGACTGGGAGTGAGGGTGAGACTGGGAGTGAGGGTGAGACTGGGAGTGAGGGGGAGAGACTGAGAGTGAGGGGGAGAGACTGAGAGTGAGGGGTGAGACTGGGAGTGAGGGTGAGACTGAGACAGAGTTAAGGGGGATTTTTTTAAACATATTTTGTATATTATTAGCTCTTTTTTTCTAGTTTTTTGTTCAGTCCTTCACAATTATTTATTATATATTTTTCTAATTCAAGATGGACAGTTGTGTTATTTATTTTTTCTTATTTTTATTTAATTTTTCTTTTTCTATAATAATGCATTAATTTACAGTAATGTGTACAATAGATTTTATACATCATTTTCACATTTTTAGACTTATTTTCATGTTAGCTTTTTTTAAAGTAATTCTTATTTTTTCCATCACACAGCAAAGTTTATGAACAATTATTTTGTATTAATTTATTTTTCTATATTTCTCATTCTATAGTAAAGTATTCATAGTAATTCATCCAATTATTGAAGATTGAAAATATATTGTATTATATATATTTATTATATTTTTTTATTTTTATTTTTATATAAGCTATAATTAAAGTTTTTCTGTATTTCCTCGATCACATTAATGGACCATAAAAAGTTAATCTCAACATCAATATTAGCTTTAACTCCAAACTAAAGATTAAAAATGTAGATTTCTTCATTTCTCTTTCATGACTTGTTCAAACACTCGAACCTGGAGCTCAGCAAACACTAAAACCCTCTTCGCCCCAAATGTTTCTTTTCATAAGTCAATATCCCGAGGTTTGATGAGGGGGTATCAATGCTAAAAGGATGAAAAAAATCAATATAAAATCGCTACACACCACCGCCGCCGCATTGGCCCCTCCCCTTCCTCCCCCGATCGGCCCTAATATGATCGATAACGTGTGAGGCGTGCCGTGTTTATGTTCCCACGAGTGACCATGTGCCGTCTACTCCAGGGACCGCCGAGAGGAGAGCGGACCCCAATGGGAAAGAAGAAGGGCCCCCACCCTCACCCCCTGGCCATATGGCTCCAGAGGGCCCATACCGTTACAGCCACAGAGACCTCTTCTTTACATGCTTTTAGTATGGAGAGGACTGGAGGGAGAGGGAGGAAGAGGGAGGGAGAAGAAGACAGAGGGAGAGAGAGGGAACAGGACGAGACAGAGGGGGAGAGAGGGAGACAGAAGGAAAGACAGAGAAAGAGAGAGGGAGACAGAAGGAAAGACAGGGAGAGACAGAGGGAGAGAAAGGGAGAGAGAGGGAGAAAGAAGGAAAGACAGGGAAAGAGAGAGGGAGAGACAGAGGGAGAGAGGATAATAGAGAGGGAGAGAGAGGGAACAGGAAGAGACAGAGGGAGAGAGAGGGAGACAGAAGGAAAGACAGGGAGAGACAGAGGGAGAGACAGAGGGAGAGATGGGGAGGGAGAGGGAGGGAGACGGGGAGAGATAGGGGGAGAGACAGAGGAAGAGACAGAGGGAGGAAGAGGGAGGGAGAAGAAGACAGAGGGAGACAGGGAGAGAACGGGAGAGACAGAGGGACAGACGGAGACAGAGGGAGACAGGGAAAGAGAGGGAGAGAGGGAGACATGGTCTTGAAAAACTGCATATTTTCAGTAGCGTCAGTCGCAGGAGCTTTAGGATGTGGCCTTTGGGAGTTGGATCCCAGGGAGACTTGCTCCAGTGATATATATAATATATATATATAATATAATATGTATATATATATATTTGTACAATAACAATACATTCAATATCTATCTACTTCAGTGGCCTCACACACAAACCAAAACGATCTATTCAAAGACAATTATTATTATTATTATTATTTTCATGTATTTTAATATGGGGCAAGTGGACACAATCAACATGTGAAACACTGCATTTATAACCAAGGCTAATTTGCAAAGTCCGTTCCTAAATTCATTTTCACTCCGTTAAAAACACATTTTACAAGAACAAATCTAACTTATAATCATCAGCTTTCACTCTATAACATATGAATTCACCGTGACAACTTTCTGATGCTTTTCACAGCTTCAAGAGAGTGACTTTGTTGTTTCTAGTGAACTTTCTGTTTGAAACATAGATTTTATAAAACAAACTTGCAGACTTACAAAGAATGATCGTGATTACCAGTGTGTGTAGCTTTTGTCCAGGACTGCCTTGAAGAAGAAGTTATTAATCTCATTGGGACTTTCCTGGTTAAATAATAATAATAATAAAAACATTTACAGATGTGTTTACAACAAACTTGTACAAGTGAAACTATTTTTCTACAACACGAACAACTCGGACACCGGCTGTTTAGAATTCAGCATATTTATCTCGGAGTCTGTTTGCAAAGTAAGTAAATAGCCTTTAAAGTTTAGTATCAGCTAAACTCCTGAGCTCTGGCTGTTTCTACTCTGTCCTTTTATTGGGATAAAGCAGATTCTTCCAGGATCACAGTGCTTCCTCGGCTTCAAATACAGTTCAAAGGTTATGGCAAAACAAGTTGGACTTTTTGCTTTAATGCAGTAACTAATGTATATACCCAAAGAAGAACCCAAAGAAGCTAATATGCTACATTGCCAAATATGGTCGTTGAATACTGGTTTTGGGAGTTGACTCGTGAAGGACTGGATTAGATGCTGTTTGAACTGAAAACTAATTGCATAGGATTAATCTAAGAGAAAAACATTGTCTTTTTTTGTTTAAATAAGGAGTACGTTTGTGAACTCAAAAATATTCTCAAAAATAATGTCCCAAAACAAGCTCAGATCAACACAAAACTAGACAAAATTGGAAAACAGGAAGTCACCAACGATAGGAAATTACCTTGGCTCTCAGTACAAACAAGTTAGTAAAAATAAGGCATGCATATACAGAATACGGCATGCATAAAAAATAATAAGGCATGCATATACAGAATACGGCATGCATAAAAAATAATAAGGCATGCATATACAGAATAAGGCATGCATATACAGAATAAGGCATGCATATACAGAATTAGGCATGCATATACAGAATAAGGCATGCATATACAGACTAAGGCATGTACAGTGTCTTGCGAAAGTATTCGGCCCCCTTGAACCTTTCAACATTTTGCCACATTTCAGGCTTCAAACATAAAGATATAAAAATGATTTTTTTTTGTCAAGAATCAACAACAAGTGGGACACAATCGTGAAGTGGAATGAAATTTATTGGATAATTTAAACTTTTTTAACAAATAAAAAACTGAAAAGTGGGACGTGCAATATTATTCGGCCCCTTTACTTTCAGTGCAGCAAACTCAGTCCAGAAGTTCAGTGAGGATCTTTGAATGATCCAATGTTGTCCTAAATGACTGATGATGATAAATAGAATGCACCTGTGTGTAATCAAGTCTCTGTATAAATGCACCTGCTCTTTGATAGTCTCAGGGTTCTGTTTAAAGCACAGAGAGAACCATGAAGACAAAGGAACACACCAGGCAGGTCCGAGATACTGTTGTGGAGAAGTTTAAAGCCGGATTTGGATACAAAAAGATTTTCCCAAGCTTTAAACATCTCAAGGAGCACTGTGCAAGCAATTATATTGAAATGGAAGGAGTATCAGACCACTGCAAATCTACCAAGACCCGGCCGTCCCTCCAAACTTTCATCTCAAACAAGGAGAAGACTGATCAGAGATGCAGCCAAGAGGCCCATGATCACTCTGGATGAACTGCAGATAACTACAGCTGAGGTGGGAGAGTCTGTCCATAGGACAACAATCAGTCATGCACTGCACAAATCTGGCCTTTATGGAAGAGTGGCAAGAAGAAAGCCATTTCTCAAAGATATCCATAAAAAGTATTGTTTAAAGTTTGCCACAAGCCACCTGGGAGACACACCAAACATGTGGAAGAAGGTGCTCTGGTCAGATGAAACCAAAATCGAACTTTTTGGCCACAATGCAAAACGATATGTTTGGCATAAAAGCAACACAGCTCATCACCCTGAACACACCATCCCCACTGTCAAACATGGTGGTGGCAGCATCATGCTTTGGGCCTGCTTTTCTTCAGCAGGGACAGGGAAGATGGCTAAAATTGATGGGAAGATGGATGGAGCCAAATACAGGACCATTCTGGAAAAAAAACCTGTTGGAGTCTGCAAAAGACCTGAGACTGGGACGGAGATTTATCTTCCAACAGGACAATGATCCAAAACATAAAGCCAAATCTACAATGGAATGGTTCACAAATAGACGTATCCAGGTGTTAGAATGGCCAAGTCAAAGTCCAGACCTGAATCCTATCCAATCGAGAATCTGTGGAAAGAGCTGAAGACTGCTGTTCACAAACGCTCTCCATCCAACCTCACTGAGCTCAAGCTGTTTTGCAAGGAAGAATGGGAAAGAATTCCAGTCTCTCAATGTGCAAAACTGATAGAGACATACCCCAAGCGACTTGCAGCTGTAATTGCAGCAAAAGGTGGCGCTACAAAGTATTAGCGCAAGGGGGCTTAATAATATTGCACGCCTCACTTTTCAGTTTTTTATTTGTTAAAAAAGTTTAAATTATCCAATAAATTTTGTTCCACTTCACGATTGTGTCCCACTTGTTGTTGATTCTTGACAAAAAATAATTTTTTTATATCTTTATGTTTGAAGCCTGAAATGTGGCGAAATGTTGAAAGGTTCAATGGGGGCCGAATACTTTCGCAAGGCACTGTATACAGAATAAGGCATGCATATACAGAATAAGGCATATATATACAGAATAAGGCATATATATACAGAATAAGGCATGCATATACAGAATAAGGCATGCATATACAGAATAAGGGATGCATATACAGAATAAGGCATGTATATAGAGAATAAGGCATGGATATAGAGAATAAGGCATGCATATACAGAATAAGGCATGCATAAAAATCTGCATAACATTTCTTAAAATTACTCCTAAAACTCAAGCTAAGTTCTGGATCTGATGCTGTTTAAATGGATAACAAATTAGATATTATAATATTGAAGAGAAAATGTGGCTTTTTTCTAGTTTAAAATAGGGAATACTTTAGTGAAACTTCTCAGAAATGTCCCAAAACAAGCTCACACCAACACAAAACTAGACAAAACTAAAATCCCATCTCCTACACAGTCATCTTGTCGTGATGTTTTTGTAGTGTGTGTATCGCCCCAGAGAAGAAGAAGAAGAAGAAGGAGGTGGTGGTGGTGGTGGTGGGGGTAGTGACGGTGGCAGATGGCTCGTAAGGGTCCGGCAGCGTGGGGAAGACCCTGGGCTCAAACCAAACCATATTCCCTCCCCCGGTGCGTTCACAATCAATGGAAAAGAAAGCGGCGCAAGAATGGATGAATAGTCAGGGGCGAGTCTCAACGTGGGGAGGGCGACCCCAGTGGAAGTTACAGCAGAAGATCCTCATACAGTACAGAATGTGAAAAGGGGAAAGGGTTAAAAGCAGGCAGCAAGAGGCCCACACTGGTCACGTTAACTGGTTTAGTGACGTGTAAATGTGCACTTTGTTTATCCCCCGTAGGGAGCTGTGTTCTCTGCATTTGACCCATACTGCTAATGCCATAAGGGTCAGGAGTAGTGGTCGCCATAGTAACAGCACCTGTGACCCATCTCCAGATGTTGATGCACGTGGTCAGGACCAGAGCTGGAGGATTTTGCTATTGTGCATGTTTTTAGCGGTAGGGGAAACCAGAGCACCCGGAGGAAGACACAAGGAGAACATGCAAACTCCACTCAGAAAGACCCAGGACCTTCTTGCTGAGAAGCGAGTGCGCTTAACCACTCAGCCACCATGAGAAAAGTTGAAAGTGATCAAATAAATGACTGCTCTGGGAGTTAAACAACTCGCATAAAAAAAAAAAAAAGAGAATTTCAAAAAAAATAGATATTACTTTCAATTCAATATATATTATAATTATATGACTTGGATCGTACGCGTGCTCTGATTGGCTGATTTGTGGTCTGATATTTTCCCATCTCGGACCGTTACCATGACAATTGGTCCGCAGCGCGTATCAGATTTGATATCTTTCCTTGATAAAAAAATAATAATGAGCGACGACTGGGAGCATTCTCAGTGAATTCTATTTTCCGGACGAGTTCGAAGAGCCGGAGGAAGTAATAACAGCAAATAACAACAAAAACCCAACTCCTAACAGTCAAGAAGAGATTGACAACTTTGTTACAGACCAGAAAGGTAAAAACACAATAACGAAAACCAAGTCGGACATGAACATACTTCACAAATATCTGAAAAGCTTTGGTAAAGACACAGAAGAGACTGAGAACTTACCACGATTTGACAGTTTGGTTGCATGCGTTTTCGCTAGTTTAAACCGATCGATATTTGCATAAATTAAAAATAGTCAAATAATAAAACATTTATTAAACTCGCTTGCTCGGTTAATAAGCCGTTAATATCAATACTTTTTTTTGTACAGTCCTAAATCACAACAGCAGTTTATCTTGGAGGAATTTACAAAGTCGCCAACAACAGATCAGAGAATCAAACAGGTCCATAAGAGGCGGAGACCAACGTCCACGAATGTTAATAAATCATAAATGTCATACAGTGCTGTAAATAAACGTCCATGTATTGTCCGTACATTAG